CTCTGACAGAGCACTACAATAACAGCGATGGGTTTGCCCTTGGCAAGCAAAAACTCATTTTGAGAGGATAATAAGTATTTACTATTTAGATAGCTGGCAATAAAATTTCTCTGAATGAGATTTTACTGAGAAAATACAAACTGATTAAATTACTTTCTTTAATGGACTGGTGAAGCATGTAATAATAGTTTGTTGAAGCAGCAAGTCTAATGTTTAGATTTTTTTTTTTTTTGTGAAAATAGAAGCCAATTCTTTCACCAAGTAGAAATTTTCACTGGAAAAACTTATGCCAAGCTTTCCATGCAAGTCACGAGATATTTTCTCATCTTGATTAATAATCTTTAACGCTGACAGCCAGTATTATAGTTGCAAAGAGTATTGGGCATCCCTAAATATTCTTAGAGAGAACTACATTCATCTGGCGCTAGGGTACGTGCAGAAAAACGTGGAAAGTGATGTCAGCTTATATCTCAAAAATAAATATTTCTTGGAAAACCACGTAGCATGCACTGCACCTCAGACTAGAACGTTTTGTAGAACAGAACTAGTTTAATAGCTGGGTATGTTCCAACAGAAGGCTATTTCCCAGGTGATGTGGAATATTTATGAGATTAAGAAAAAAGTCCTTTTAAGAATGTGTGCTAGAAGACATTCGGTTATTTAAAATATTTGGGTTTATTGTATTTCTAAACAACTAAAGAGAAAGGGGGGAAAAAAAAAACACAGAAAGATTATACAAAAGTACAAAAGGAGCAGGTTTTACAGATCTTGCGAAGTGAGGAAAACGTGTATTTGTAAAACTGATCTGCAAACACTCACCTACATTGTCACTAAAATGAGCTGGCTGCGTAAATTAAATAGGTGAGATCATCCCGAGTCATGTTTTGAACAATATCTTTCTTCTTAAGTCTGTGTCAGTGATGGATCCTGCAGCTCACGAGAACCGAGATGCTCGGTACGGATCTTGCAAACCCATAAGTGGGTGTGTTTGTGGTTACTAGACCACCAGTTTCACTGGTTTGGTTGCCAGTCAGAGAATTCCATGTCGTCACTATAATAAAACGTGTTAAAGTGGGATCCAGAGTATCGTGCTCTTACGTTAAGTATTTCTGAATATGCATATCTTACAAACGCCAATTTACAGGGTTTCATTGTCTGTGAAACCCACTGACATGCCTTTTTTTTTTTTTTTTTTTTTTTTTTTTTCCCCTGACATTTTTGTAATTCCAGAAAATCTGTATTCTTGGCATTGGGAAGTACCGGGGATACTACCTGACATTATTAGTGTAGCACTGGAAGAAGAAAGAGGATAATATTTCTTCTCCTTTTTAACCATCAGTCACTGTATGGAGCTGCTGTGATGTGCAAACAAATTCATAATCTACTCTGTATTTGATTTAAAAAGAAAAAAAAGAACAACTTTTGCTTTCCCCAGTTCAATAACTCCCTTGAAATGTGTTTTTCTACAGTGTAGCTTATACAATACTGCATGGGTTTATAAATTGAAATCTCACTTTTTTTGGACGTACCGGACTGGATGACTGATGGCTGTATCTATTTGCCATAAAATTTTAATTATGAAATAGTTATGAATCACTGCACTCGCTTTTTAAAGTGTTAAAAAAAATGATGGCTTTGTTGTTTATTAAACTAGTGAGGGTAGAGGAAGAAAGTGGAAAAGACTTTGAGGCTGGATCCTGACCTTGTCGGAAAGCCGAGGTGCAACCTTAGAGCTGGTTTTACGGACATGCCTTTCCCTCGCTGACAGCCCTGCTCCTACCAAGATTGACAAATACTATTAATTTTATTAGTTTACCAATCCTGTGGGTGTCCAGAACAGCAGTTTACAATGGTGATGTCCTCAGGGAATGGGGCTTTAGCGACTGTCGCTAGAGGAATAGCGGTGCAGCCCTTCTCCCTTCGCCCCCCCTGAGCATGGAAATAAACCCAACGTGTTCACAGATGAATACAAATTTTTTAAAAATTAGGTGAAGTAACTGGAGTTGTGCAGAACTTTTAACATCCGCTGTGGTGACCACAGCATGATTTACATTATCGAAGTGTCAGATTTTGTTAACGGCTGCAGTATCAGCGTATTTGTACACAAAAATCCCCTTTAGCACCATCACAACATTTGATATTCCCCATTTTTTTTTTTTTTTTTTTTTTTTATTTGGCATGGGCAAGCATTACTTTCAATGTCTCCTACTTTGAATTTTTCTTTCTTAAAATGAGATTTATTTTTTTTTTTTCTCCCCTTTGGCTTGGGAGCCTGACTGTCAGGGGCTTTTACACCGAGACAGAGTAACAGATTGAAGTGGTTTCAGGGCTTTAATCCCTTGGTAAATTAGCCAGCAGGCTCGCCTTTTCATGGATGTGCTAAACAACAGGTTGATGCCATTTGGGCATTAGCAAGGAGAACCACCTGAGGGAATAGGAAATGAATGAGGCGAGATGTGCCATGGAGGCAGCGTGTGCCTATTAGCGCGTGGCCGACTCCTGCCAGAGAGAAGTAATAATGCTAAATGAGGTTTTAAAGGACAAAGTTGGGGGATTATATCGTCATTTATGATTTGATTCACGTGTAATTGATCCTGGTAATAAGAAACATCCCCATTGCACTGTAAACTTGAAAAGAAATAATTAAAAAATTCAAAATACTTATCCTTTTTAGTAGAATTTCATTAGAATTTCGTATTTTCTCATTTTTTAAATCGTGTACATGACATGTGCATAGGATCATATATATACTATATGCAGATAATCATAATTAAACATTTTTAGTCACTAACTGCTGAAAATAAACTTTTTACTTTATATCAAGATAAATATTTCCTTATCCAAGTTTGTTTTTATTAAAGTAGGTTGAAAATCAAAACCCAAGGTCACTATTCACGTGAACTAGTTTGATTAATTTTTGTTAGTCTTGGTTTAAAAAGTGGATGAGTGTTGCTGTTCGTGGTGGTTTTTTTTTAAACTTATTTAGCTGCTAACAAAGTAGCTAATGTTACTCTAATGAAGGAAAATATTAAAATTCTGTTTGCTGTAGTAAGAAATCGATCATACTTCTAGGAAATATAATGTAGAGAAAGCTGGTGTAATATTAAAATCATTAAAGCTACCTGTTAGCCTCTAAGTCCCTCCCTCAGAGCTTTTAATTTTCTGTTTAGAAGGGGGGTTTCAGGATCAATATGAAGATCTGTTGATAATATTATATTTAATTAGAGTAATCAAAAACCATGCTTAGAGCATGACACCTGCTAGGGAGAGCTTCAAACCCGGAGTAAGCAGCATGTGTTAGCAGAGTTTCTTTTGCTTGTCCATGGGCACTAATCTGGGAAGAGTCCCAAATGGGGCAGCTACTCAGCCGTTTCATTGACTTTGATCTGGTTTGGGGGGCAGTTGATTCTCCCATAATGCCGTTGATCAATGATTTCCTTTCAGCGGTGATGTAATTAAAGAGCTTTAGTCAGCTTGCGCTGTGTTGTCCTGAAATTTATTATTCTGGAGATTTAAAGAAGATCGATAGGGTGCAATGGCCCGATGTTTAGAGCCGAGCAGGAGGACCCTGTGAGAGGAGGAGGCACGCAGGAAACGTGGCTCCAGGACACAGACGGGATGTTTACCTGGGACCTTGAGCTGACCTGCGCGCAGCACAGCCTCTTTAACCAGTAGCGGTTTATTACCTATTTTTATCATGGGGACTCGAAACTAGTCTAGCCTGGTCGTTATTGATCTTATCTTGCTCAAAGCAGTTGAAATCAGTACTGTAAGAAAACGGTAATTAAAGCAGTTAAATGTGGTTTTCAGAGGTAGTCGTTACTCGCGGTGCAACATATGTACAAAATTAAAAAATAATCCTGGAGTGATATTATCCTGAAAGAAGCTTTGATGAACGTTAGCCTGAAAAGCAGCTCTGATTTTTTTTTTTTGCAATGTGTATAGGTAGACACAATCTAAAGGAGAAGTATTTCATATTGCTGGAGCACAGTCTTGAACAATGATTATGACATGAAGCTGTGTGGATGATGAGGGGCACACGAAACTTTCTGCACGCAAAACGATGCCACATTGGACTCAGGAATACTTCTGTATGGTTCCAGACTTGTTTCTCTCATGTGAATGTTATTTACCATCTTCTTACCAAGAAAAGAGGTGTTAAAAACAAGAGGTAAGAGCAGGATCTGTTCTGCGTATTCTGTGACGGTATTTAGCAGCCTTACGTTGTCCAGAAATCATCCACTTACAGATCACTGGCTCTGCCAGGTCATCCAGACCCTGTATAAATCCTCAGGTCTTGTCGTAAAATTTAGATCTCTGCCTTGAGGAGATCTGTCATGAGATTTCAGGGTTCAAGACCAAAAAAATCCCAAATTTTTCCCATCCTGGGAACGGGATGCTGTCCCTAAAGGGGGATGCTGAGGTGAGACCCGCCTGTCATACACGTTATTTTAGTGCTCTGGTTGGTTTGAGGCTCCCGTTGGCGACCTGGTCACCTGGTTGTGAAAGGCAGAGAGCAAAGGCCGCGGAGTTTGGCACCGTGCTGCCTTGACTTCGGGGCAACTCTGTGCTTGTAGGAGTCTCGAATACCTGTGATTGCTGACAGAAAAGAAAATTCTTCTCTTTTAATTATGCTGGTTTAATTATATATCTGAATTGGAATAAACGTCCGTAGCAAGCAGTATCTTTAGTGCAAATCAGCCCTGCAAAGGCAAGGAGAATCCAGGTCTGAAGAATGTCTTTGCTTCATGCACGAAAAGAAGCGAGTTTGGGTGAGGTTGTGTCAGGTACCTGGATTTGTTTCTGGCTCTGAGATGCTTGTGAGACATGTTCCTTCCCTAAACACATTCATTCTGTCCCGTTATAGGTAAACTTTACCCGACAACGCTAAAGCAAGACTATTCATGTCTATTAATGTGCATCTAAAAATGTTGTGGATTTTTTTTTTTTTTTCCATTTTGGGGAAGAAATTAGGTTGTACTCTGCTGTTAAATATCCAGCAGCTGGTGTTCTTGCTGTACAGTGCATATAGGAAGACTTTTGTTTTCCCGATTTGAGATCATCTGCTAGTGTAACTTCACGGAATTCTAGTAATTTTTCATCATTCTTTTAAATGCTTTTTATTTAACATTTTGCATCACATCTACCTTAGTGTAAGAACTGATGAGCTTGGTCTTTAGCCAATGCAGTTGAACTGTTATTTCTAAATAACTGTGTCACTGAGTATTTTTGAGGGATGTTCTGGGACCTGGGTGTCTCGGACGTCGGTGACTGGTTGCTGGAGATCTCGAAGCATCAGCTCTGAACATGGAATTTTCAGTCCTCGGAGCCATTACATCACTATGATTTTTCTGTACCACCACGTCATGAATAAACACTCTTTCCTGTGATTTTTGCCACCTTCTCTGGGTTTTTACTCTGTAGGTTCCACCCTGAGCTGTAATATACAACATGGAGTAGAAAAGCATCGGTCTCGTGGAGGGTGTGCTGTGTACGTTAGCATTGTCGTGTAAACCAGAGGATGCTTTTAAATCTTTTAAGTCTTGGAGCACGTGGATTGAGCTCTTTCCAAAGGATGTTCGTTGAGTTGGCATGCTCCAGGCACCTGCCTCCTGTCCTCCAGCCCTTCCTGGGTGCGTGGTCTGTGTGGTCTAGTTGTGCTCGAGCTGTCTGGAGTGACAGCTCCTGAAATCTGCACAGAGAAGGCACTGGCTCTTGGGCACCAGCCTTCTGGATTCACTCTTTTCGTGCTGCATTATTTGCTATTGTAGACGTAGGGTTAGTCTCATCCGTTGTCATAGGTCACCTGAAGTTTTACCAGAAGTGATTTCTCTGTTTTACTAAAAGCTCTGATAAGGCTGCTGAGCAATGCAATTAAGGAGCATGAATCATCACAATCATTAGATCTTCATTTGAAAGAACAGCTTTTAAACAAAGGATATAGAGACCCTGTGTAGGTGCGCGTGTAAGTTCGGAACCGTATTCTTCTTGACAGGTGATGGATGACGGGCCTCAGCAGAGGTGCACTGCCGCCAGTTCAGCAAGGTCTTTGATGTGCGTTCCCTCTCCTCATAGTTGTTGTTACGTGCCATTAAACATTTAGTGAGGTTTTAATATTTCAGATTGTTTACATCTTTCGAAGAACGAGAGAAAGACTTTTGAAAGAAACTGCAAAAGCAGACTTTGCAGAGCGCTCCAATTGCAAGCTAAAGCCAGCAGGAAATGAAATCTAATTGGGGAAAGTTTATGGAATTTCTGGTGTTGAATAAGGCTGCTTATTTATTACTTTGTTACAGCTTTATATAAATATATAGATGCACATATGTCTGAACTAAAATTACGCTGTCCAGACTTATGAGGGCCAGTTGGAATCTCTCAAGGTTGTGGATGAGTAAGTGCAAATGCATGTGTAGATTACAAGGTACGTGCCCTTGGAAGTGACTTTCTCACCGATGACAAATCTTTCTTAAATCCTCTCCTGGAAAATCAGTCCTTTGTTGGTTTTTGAGTCTTTGACTTTTCCATTTTCCCATTTACTCTAATGGATTTTAATAGTTTGAAAAAGAAGCATTTATTTGAAGTACACTAAGAGATACAATACTTCAGAAAAAAAAATAAAAATGTTTGATACCCAAAATTCCTTTTTGAATTATTTAAGCAGTGCTGCGGCAAATTGTTTATTCAGTGATGTTCAGCCTGGTTGTGTAGTAGGGGTGTAGTTTTCTTTTAATGCAGCTATTGAATTCAAACCCACACAGCCTCTGGCATAATTCCAAGAGCAATCTGCTGTGCATAGTGAAGATAAATTGTTTGTTTTCAGCAGCATTTCTTCATCTTCATCAGTTAATCTGGAATGAAATTTTACAGTCAGCCACTGAATATTTAAGCAATATATTTACCCCTTTTATCCTGGGGGAATATTTAATAATGCTGTGTACAGTAAATGATTAGTTAATGATATAAGCAGAGAATGTATAGTTTCCCATAATTTTCTGCCATCAGAGCGAGTGCCGTGCCCCAGCGCAGAGCTCGGTGGTTCGCGGGGCTTTGTGCGCGCGGCTCTCAAGGCTATCAGAAGCGTAATTGAGTGTGTGTTGGCATCGGCAGTAAGTCTTTCCCACAAATCTTTCCTTGACACACACTCCCCCTTTTGGTGCCAGATGTCAAGTTCTTTTGGATGCCTGTCTTATGAATCTGCAGTTAACGCACAGTAAATCCTGCGAGTTTCCTGTGCCTGCACCCAGAAGTTTTCCACCTCATCGTTCCCTGATTTCTCCAGTGCCCCATTCAGTGTCTTTGTGAATCTTTCGTATTAACACTGATGGCAATACTCAAGAACAGTTTTTTCTTTAATGATCTGTTCATGGACTTATAGTAGATGTTTAAAAAATGTATAATTTTTTGATCCTTTTTGTTTTCTATTGTTTCACAAAGACCTTTTTGAATTAACGTCATGGTAAAAGTGGAAAATTATCATGAGTAGGGTGAACAAAGTTCCCTCTTCAAAAATCCCCTCAAACGTTTCCTGGTTCTTGCACCATTATTTGTCTATTAATTGTGCTCCATTCTTGATTAAGTTTGCCTTGTATTGTACTTTCGCAACTGTATTTACAATTGCAATTTTACGCTTAAAAGTTAATTTAATTTGATGTGGCCACGTTTGGTACAAATCATTTGTTATACGGCGCTGTCTAGATGCACTGTATCCCCTTTTCCTGTGGAGCTTTCATCACAAGAAACTTGTGCTCCCTCTTTTTTGCTACAGATGATGTTCTTCTCTAACAACCTTCCCCGTTACTCATGGTATTCAAGACCATGACTAAGTTTTAAGCGTGGTTGAATAGTCTCTCTGAAGTCAAATGCGTTCCTAATATTTTTCAGTTTAGGCATGCTGGTGGAGCAAGGATTCAGACACTCTCAAAGAAGCCATACTCTATGTTCTCCATCTAGAAGAAATAATCTTTGTTTATTCCAGCCTTTGGTTTTTGGAATAATCTTGTAGCTCCAGAATCTGTTAAAGTATTACCTTCATCATCTGGGGCATTGTTTCTATCTAGGTGGTTGACATTTAAAAAAAAAAAAAAAAAGTAATGTTAATCCTTCTAAAAATACAAATTTCTGTGGATTAGTTTTGAGTTTCCTTATTTAAATGGGCTTTAGACAGGTCTGTAGTGTTTCAGGAACTCAGAATTTATATGTATTTTTCCATCACTTACAGTCAGAAGTACAGTAAAACTATACTTGCAAGGAAAACTTGCATTGCCCAAACAAACTCATCCCGTCTCCAATGGTGAGGATGCCAAGTTAGACCAGGTGGCCAAGCCTGGTGAGATAAGAAGTCATGCAGGGAAGTGGTGGTGGCAGTTTTCAACGGGAAGAGCGCGCTGTGGTTGGATTTTGACAACAGAAAAGTTCTGCTCCTCTGAACGGCCGTGCTTTGAAAATCCAGACCCACCCCTTGAGCTGGTGCAGTTTCAGTCGTTGCATTCAGCTCCCGTGAATGCAGATGATAACGTCACCCTCCAGTCACTCCAAGTCCAAAATAAATGTGTCACTGAGGTGGGGAGGGGGTGTGTTCCGCATTGTCACTGACCCTCTGCTGAAGAGGAGATTTTCATTGCAGTCTGTGATGGTAATCGTGGAAATATCAGGAGTGAGATAACTATCACCTTCGGGTAGTTTTAAATCCTGTGTCCTACCTTTGAGAGCCCAAGACTGAGGGTTTGGGGGGGCTGTTTTATGCATCACTCCTGTTGATGCGATGGACTCCCTCAGCATCCCAGCAACGGGGCAACGCTCCATCGCTTCCCCGTAGCCCACAACGTCGTGGGAGCAGCGTTGTTGTCATGGGGTACATGACAGATTGAGATCTACGAGGCAGCTTCTTGGAGCGTTGTCCAAATCCCTCTTAAAAGCTCTGCACTCCCAGTGACCCCAGGCCAGATGGCAAGCCTTCCCAGGGGAGAGTTTAGGCCGGGAGGAGCTGGCTCCCCCCTCGCCGGGCTCGGTGTGTCGGGGCAGGAGCTGTGGGGAGGCCATGGGAAGAGGGGCTGAATCACAGAATCAGCTCGGTTAGAAAAGACCCTGAAGATCACCCAGTCCAACCATTAAAATCGTCATGGTGGGAAGCACAAGGAGGTGCAACGTGTGGCAATGCCCGGCATTAAAAAAATGCACCGTCTTCTACAGTGCTATCCATTAATGATTTAGGATTAAACTGCAGTTAATAACTGTTACCTCTTCCTTCAATGGAACTTCATTGCAAATAAAAGAGTGAGGAGGGAAAGCGATACCAGTTTTCAACAAACGTGGTTAAGCAGCATTTGATTGCTGTGTCTTCATTAGCCTTTCTAGCGGTATCTTTGGGTGATGAGATTTTATTTCTGAAGGTGGAAATTTGAGTAGGCTTTGGGACTCCAACGTTGTTAACTGCAATTTAAACTAGGCCGGCTTTAGCAATGTGCTTTTGCCTGTGCCTTCAGCAAAGATGCTGTACAAACGATAAATAAGGGTGGTAAATCATCTTACGAGGTAGCCTGAGGTTTAGATCTTGGTGCAGTGCAAAAAAAAAAGTTGTAGATTTGTACGTTATCAGCCATTGTCTTTGAGATATATACAGGTGTTGTCTTTTAGGTATTACTGTTTTTGTCCTTCAACGGGAAACCCGAAATTTCTCTCCGTAAGTGGTTGTGTTGAGAAATACTCCGAGAAGGAAGGTATAAAGCTTGCCCATTTTTCACCTAGGAAGTCCCCAAAACATTTCCGAACGAGTAGATGTTGTTTCCATCACCTGTTTGGAGGAATTCCCTATGTGGAATAGTTTTCTGTGCCACAGAGCTCTCCCCTGCCTGCCTTAGCCGGAGTCAGTTGTCAATATTTTTTTCCTGATGTGTCCCGTCTTGCTGGAGCTGATACCTGGATCTTGCACCAGTAAGACTAGGGAAATGAATCTGGATAATTATCTCTACAATTTGTTGTTATTTGGACGACGTGATACAGCAAATCTGGCTGAGCTTCTTGGTGGTTTCCAAGTGCAGATGAGCAGCCAAAGATTATTCTTAACGCAAAGGACTCTTGGTCGCTAGGCGGTAGCTGTGGGCTGGTGCCCAGAAGTAAATTAGGGGAATTAAATTCACATATTATGAAGGTTTATTTTCAAAAGCTACCGTGAGACCGGCTGCGAAACTTGCCAAACCAGAAAGACTTTTTACCACGGTGGTAGAGATGGGTCTCTGCTGGCAGCATTGCTAACGGGAGCCGCTTACACAGTTTATTCGTTACGTCTTTATTTGGTTCAGAAGCATGAGATGAAAATTCTCGGAGCCCTTACAAGGTGCTCTGGGCTGGTTTGGCTTTTCTCGGGGTTGTTCCCCGTAATCATCTGTAAGTACTCCATGGTTTATTGCTTCCTTTCGATAGCCAGATTAGTTGTCATCTACTTGATTTTTCACTTAACGTGGCGATTCCTGACATTTTAAAATTGGCAGATGAAAGAAGGGCTCATTGTGAATCTAAGTTTTGTGAGTGGATTTTTCAAGTTTGCTGACAAGCTGTCAGGCTGAATTCTGCTATTAACCCCAGAAAGAAAAGCCGACTGTCATTCTCAATATCCAGACTGCAATGACAATTGGATTTGAAATGCATTGTGGCTTTTTTTTTTTCCCCCGGAAATTATTTAAATATTTTTATTAGTGATTATATTTTAAGCAAGCAAGTTTCAAAGTAACGTAATTTATTTGTGAAATTCCGTGGTGTAGCTGTTATATTTTTCTCGTAAAGTAAAACAGCAAGCTAATTTCTCACACAGAGTCAGTAGTTGGACACAAGTGGCAGATTCCTTGGGAGGGTGGGACGTTGGATGGGGCCCGGGCCGTGGAGCTTGGTTGAGATCTGCTGGGCAAGGGGCTACACACCGGATGCTGGACCTGCCGCTCCTTACCACGGGCTCGACTGGTTCCTGTGAAATTGCCCTCATAACCATCTCCCTTCTGCAGGGTGCGAGGGCAGTTAGTGTCTTTTGAAAGCAACAAGTAATTGCGGGGTTTATCCCGTGGAACTTAAACAACAGCGTATGGTGGCTTTTGGTTTTAATTCATGTTCACGTCATCCTCCCAGCTCGGGAGGAGATGCACGTTTGTGACAATTTTGACTGAATTAAGCTCTATATCCTCAAAGGAAAAGGCTGGTTCCTGAAGTCAGCGAGGGTAAAAACTGACCTGAGTTAATCTTCCACAATTGATGTGATGATTTTCAAAGCATTTGTTGCATCAAGACTGTAGGCATCTCCTCTATCTTAGCAGTGGGGTTTCAGACTTCTGTTTTCTACCTTTTCTTATTTCTAATTAGTTTTAGAGAAATCTCAAAAGTTTATATTTAAAGTGGACCGTTCAAAAGTGACTTAGAGTCTACCAAAGTGTTAAAAGGACCAGTCTGTGGGTGACAAGGGTTAGAAGATAACAGCTTTGTGTGTGGATGTTCCACAGCCGTTTTTAATTCAAATTTTAATTTCATAATTTTAATTATAGCTTTCATGTTTCTGACTCATTTGCCTTGAGTTTTATTACAGAAAAAAAAAAAAGTTCTTGTACTTTTTTAATTAGAATTTTCGTCTCCCCCATAGTTGTGGCTTTTTTAAACTAAGTGATTTATTTATCTTTCTTTCATGTTTCATTTCTTCTGTGAGGTAGCAAGCTCACAAATTTCCATAAATTTCCATAAAGAACCACCTTCTTCGCAACAAGACTAAGAACATTCTGTAGTATTTTTACATAATCTCAAAGTTCTCATCCCAATAACAGGTATTAATTTATTTGATAATAGGTACGACACAAAAATGTTACTTTTGCAAGAGCACATAATGTAGCTTAAAACATGTTGGTTTCTTTTCAAGATAGCTCCTTTATAGTCCGTTTTATAGCTGTAATTGAATTTAAGAGACTGTAACTTAAAATGCAAACCTGTTTTGATATTGTGGCCTCCTGATTTAATTTTGCACGACAAGTACCAAAACAAATCAGCAGTGTGGTATTAAAATTCCCCGTGTGCTCAGCCAGATTCCCACCATGGTATCCAAAAGAAAGTAAGGGTTTGTTTTTTTTTTAAAAAAAAAAAAGGAAAAGGGGGGAAGAAGGGGAGATGTGGCTAATCAGTGGTGTGTGAGGATTCATTGGTTACGCTACTCTCTTGGCAGCGTTGATGTTATATTCTCTTTACGATCTGAGAAGATGTTGACGTAATACAGTTTATTTGCTTTTACATGACACGTAGCCCATGTGTATTTCTCCTTTCGAAAATGGCAATAATAAGTTACCTATATTCCGTTACATCGTGCTCAAGCATGGAGTAAGTTTGCTTTACCTATATGTATTTTTTTCTTCTCTTAATATTTGATTGTGCTCTCATATAAAATTTTAAGACTCCATCATTGCTGTTAAGGTTTACTGGTTCTGCAGCAGCTTTCTCTGCTACGTTGGAAACTCCTCAGAGGCTCTGAGATTCTTCCCATACTGTTCCCAAAAATGTGAATTTCTGTGGGACTAGACTGCATCCATCCGGGAAATGATCACCCCCTTTCTGAGACTGATATATTGGAGCAAATGTTGGTCATTTTCAAGGGTGACTTTCAACCTGATGGAGAGCATATGAGCTCTTCCCTTTTGAAATATGTATTTTTAGGGCTTTTTCTTCTTTGTTGCTTATAATTCCCACTGGTCTCATTTCAGACTAAGGTTAACCAGGTGTCACCTTAGTCATTTACACCTTCCTCATATTTGTGGTCAGGATTTTTATTGAGATTAATTATTGGGATTATTATATTATTGGAATTATATATTCATGAGGTTCCTGGATGTTCAAAAGAAGGCCCTAAGGATCCAGTCTGTCCCTGCCAAAATCCCGGTAGCAATAAGAACAATAGCAAAGCTCAGGCCCGATGCTGCTATACATCCTCCAGGTTGCATTACGCATGATGATGGTTAGAAAATTAATTCATAGAAGTATTTTTTCTATTTCTAAGAGATAGAAATTACCATCAATTAGACATGCTGATTGCTTAAGTCTTCTAATGAAAGACCTGTAGCTCACTAGAGCAGTAGTGCTGTGCTGCCGTGGAGATGTGAGGTTGCTAAAACTGCACCCTCCAACCTGGCTGGAAAGAAAAAAGGGAAAATGTAAATTTACAGATTGGATAAAAGCTGCCATTTCACTGTAAATGTAACTTGGCTGCATAAACTATAATTAGGGTGGAGGAAGGCCAAGGTGCTTCCGGAGCCCTGGCTCTGGAATCGCCTGGTTCCCACCCCACGGTGGCGGGGTGTTTGCAGCTCCACGTTTCTGCCCCTCGGGGCTTGGGCTCCCATTTGCCATGAGGAAGGGTCCCCGGTAGCCCAGCGAGGGGCAGCCCTCCACGCCCTGCAGCACCCTGGGCTCGTTCCTCTCCTCCTCCCCGTGGTGCAGGGGTGGCATAGGAAGAGGGCAGCCCACTGCTGCCGGGTTGGGACACAGGCAGGAGGATTCTCTGTGCAGCAATAATGGCCAAAGAGCAGGAATTCAAACAGTTTCGAAGCAATCTGAGGAATAATTTACAGAAAAGCATTCCTCCTTTCACCTGCTCAACAGCTCCGTTACCGCTGTTTCCATGGGAGACCCCCCGTTGTTCTCTCATTTCTCCACCTGGGGTGTGTGAGGGGGAAAGAAACGACTCTATAACAAATTGGTTTAAGAATTTAAAAATTGGTTTAAGAACAACTTAAGGAAGTTGATTCAAAGTTGGAGTTTTTCATATTGATCACTTCTCAGTTTTCCGTTTGAGCTGAAAATATTCCTGAAGGTTATAGCGAAGAAATCAGCCTTTACTCCATGAACTTTTATTTCTGAAATTTGTA